CATTTCCATTTTGTAGATTCAAAAACAAGCTAAGGAGGTTATGTAACTATTCCAGGTTACACGGTGAGAAAATGGCAACTTAAATCTGGGGTGCCAAGGTCTATGCTCCTTCTAGCTCACCTCTACGACACCAATTGCCTGTAAAATGGACATGTCCAACACACAAATGTATAGTCAGTCAGTTAGTAAATGAAATGTTGGCTGCCGTTTGTTAATTACCATAGCTAGATAGTTATCATAAACTACTCACCTAAACAACTAGAGAAAAGACAGGCCAATCCACATCCCTGCACACAAAGAGGAAGAATTCTGCACTGAATTCTGAAAAGTGAAGAAACCCTTTCCAACACCACTAAATCCAAATGTATTATTTATCAGTTTTTATGTTTGCACAGGGATTTTTAATGCACAAGGAACCTGCAATAATCATATCTCAGCTCCTCTCAAAATTTCTATATTAGCCAAAATCATTTCCAGGAATAGATACAACTCATCAATTCTACAATGCAACACACTTGATCAAGAACCAAAAGCTCGTTCTATTTCAGAAAAACTACAGACCCGTTTTTATTGTTATTACAAAATCCCACCAGAACTCATTATTTTGCTGCCTGCTCATCTGGCAAACAAACACGGAGATGAGTCAACTAAAGCAATGTACCGTGTTGGGGAAAACTCAAAAGGCCACGTAACCACCTCTGCGCCGTCCCTGCCCACCCTGCAGCAAGACAGTGCGTCGTTCAGCCCTTCCGGCATGTCTTTGCTGACCTCTAGTGGTCCACAGGAAAATCGAGCAAACAGCAAAAGGAAGGGCTGTTAACACATCTCCACACATTTTAAGTGAAAACTTTTTATTTTATAAAATATGCATATGTATATACCCACCTGTGAAAACAGCTTCACAGTAAGCCCAAATTTTCAGCATTAATTTGCAAAGGCAACTCCAGTCGTCAAGGGCAAGCCAGTTTCCCAAGTCTTCCCTGCCCCTGGCTCCCAACTAAACTGCAATTCCACAGCTCAGGCCTTCCAAGGATCCCTTTGAAAAGCACAAACCTGCTGGGCGCAGTGGTTGGAACCTGTAATCCCAGCACTTTAGGAAGCCAAGGCAAGAGGATTGCCTGAGTCCAGGGGTTTGAGTCAGGTGGGCCTGGGTTCCAGCCTGACCTTTGCCACTTGTTAGCTACATAACCTTGAGCAGAATCACTCAGTGTCTCTGACTCTTAATATTTTCATGTGTAAAACGATAGGATGACATGTTCATATGGTGATTAGAAGGATTCGTTTAGCTTAGATATGTCATGTCATTGAATAACTGACTGTCTATTGTTTTAGTGCCTGCCTTATAAATTGATTTGCAGTGGGCAAGGGTTATCAGATTGGAGGGCTTCAAGGGCCATCTTCTTGTGACAGAATGGAGGGTGGATTGTGCTTTTCTTTTCTTTTCAGTTAGAGTCTCACTCTGTCGCCCAGGCTGAAGTGCAGTGGCACACTCACAGCCACCCCACCTGCTGGGCTCTGGCAATCCTTCCGCCTCAACCTTCCAAATAGCTGGAACTATAGGCGCACACTACCACACCTGGCAATTTTTTATTTATTGTAGAGAGAGGGTCTCATCAAGTTGCCTGAGCTGGTCTCGAAACCGTGGGCTCAGGCAATTCAATTGTCTTGGTCTCGCAAAGTGCTGGGATTTTAGGCTGAGCCACCGAGCCCAGCCTAGCCCCACTTTAGTGGGTCCTCTTCACTCTTTTCAGACAGCCCCTCCTCCAGGAAGCCTGGCCCCACTCCCCCGTCACTGCAGAATTCTCTTGCCATATCCTGATTCTCCATCAGTGCAGCACAGACCAGTCTCTGGGGCGGGAATATGCCTCATCATCCCTGTAGCTCCACGGCCTGGCACAGTGCTTAGACCTTAGTCAGTCACCCAGAAATCGTGTTAACCGGTAAGTACAATCCTGATGTTGGTCCCTCATTGCCCAGCATCATAGGGACTGACTGCCTCACTTTAAAGTGCCCATGAAACTGATACTTCCACTTTGAAATGTCTGCTTCCCACTCATCCTACCCATCTTTACCAGAAACTTCAGCACAAACAGAAAGATAATGACCTCTTCTTAACCGTTTTCTGATGAACACATTGCATTAATGATATAGATGCACTCGACAGCTTCAAGTCTACGTGGTACTGTTTCCCTTACACTAAATGGCCTAAAACATTGTGAGATTTTGTTGTTGTTTATTTGCTTTTACTTGGATGCCTGGCTTTGTCCTATTCTTGTTTCTCCCTTTGATGCTGGGTTGACAGTTGTCACTTTGTCCTCACTTTAAAATCCTTACTTCCAATATCTAATCTAGGAAATTAGCTGAGATGAGAGTCTAGAGGGGCTGTAAATATACTTTACAGAAGAGACTAAGGTACAGAGAGGTTAAATATCTTGCCAGAATTCCAACCCCAGCATCTGCAACTGGAGTCCATATGCTCAGCTATCAGGCTAAAGCATTTCTCTTTCTATGGACTTGCTGTAAACATACAAAATATGACAATATGGACCAGAAGGATACTCACAAACTCTAAGATGGCACTTAACTATTATTTTTCTAAGTTATTTTCTCCCTATAAAAAAATTAAGAATCTCTGCAGTCAACATGGCAAAATATGCTAAATGTGCTAAATCCATATGATAGAGGCACAAGTGTCTTATTATTAGTCACACTTTTTTATATGTTCAAAATAGAGAAGGATTATCCAGTCTCTCTTCCCTCTCCTCCACCCACTGTCCCCTCTCTCACCTCAGCCCCCATACCCACATGTCTGTCTTTCCCTCATGTGTGAAGCTGACTTTCTCATCTTCCCCTCCACATCTCCTTTGCAGCTTGCCCTTCTCAGAGCCCAGCCTGACCATCGGTCACCTAAGGGATCAAGCAGAAACCTGGGTGTGATTCCATCAAACGATCTCCTACAATCAGCCATTACCCTTTCCGTACAGACCCCTAAACACATTTTCAGTCGATTGGCTTTCCCATGACATCCAGTGATGCTCTGGAAGAGGCCATCAGTACTTCTCGCCCAGACTCTCCAAGGGCCTCCCTACTGGGCCTCCCTCCATCACACTCCCCTTATTCCATACAAATTTGATTGTATCATTCCCTGCTTTTAAGATCTTTCTTTTAAAACGTACTGCTGGCTAGGTGAAGTAGCTCACGTCTGCAATCTCAACACTTTGTGAGGCTGAGGTGGGAGGACTGCTTGAGCGCAAGAGTTCAAGACGAGCCTAGGCAACATAGTGAGACCTAGTCTTAAAAAAGACAGAAGCAGGATTTGGCCCCCTCCCCCACCTTGGGGAGGTGAATCTTCTTTCTCCTTTCTCTCTCTAATTTACTTTTAAATAAACTTTTCTTTCTTAAAAAAAAAAAAAAAAAGACAGAAGCAAAGAAAAGAAAGAAAGAACTAAAGGAAGGATGAAAGAATGGAAGAAAGAACAAAAGAAAGAAAGAAAGAAACCAAAAATTCTTTACCTGGCCAAGAAAGCCCTCCTTCTTAGACTGTCCCTCCCTCCCACTCTCCCCTTCTCCCCTCTCCCTCCATCCCCACCTGTCTCTCACTTTGGTCCCTCCAAGCGATCTGATCTCTCTGTTTCACTCATGGTGAGCCATCTTCTCCCTGAATGCTTTTTTCCCACCTCCTCATCTTGCTGTCTCCTATTCATCGTTCAAGGCCCAGCTCCAGGCTCAGTGCCTAGAGACAGTGCCTGGTCCCCACACCCTCTGCCTCCACCAACTAGGTTAATTCCTTTTACCCTTGCTCCCTTGGCACCTATACTGCCACTCTTTTGCACTTACCCTACTGTTTAAAGTCTGCCTCCCATGAAACTGTCAGCTTAGTGAGGTCAGGACCTGCCTGCCTCATCTCTTTTCCCTAGTCTCAGCACAATGCCCTGATCACTAAACATCTGCCGAATCACCTACATTCTCACTCTGGTCTTGCATCCTTCAGCTAACTGCCTAACTTTGGAGTCTTGGTTTCTCTATCTGTAAAGATCCAAGTTAGACTGACTGAACAGCTAAAATTCCTCCAAGACTATCAGTTTGAAGATTTTGCATTATCAGTCCAAAACTAAATGTGGTTTGTTTTGTTTTGTTTGTTTTGTTTTGTTTTGTTTGAGTTGAAGTCTCACTCTGTCGCCCAGACTGGAGTGCAGTGGCCGCTCCTTGCCACCACAGCCTCGACCTGCTGGGCTCTGGCGATCCTTCCGCCTCAGCCTTCCGAGTAGCCGGAATTACAGGCATGCATTACCACGCCCGGCTGATTTTTTGATTTATTGTAGAGATGAGGTCTCGCTGCCCAGGCGGGTCTCGAACCTGTGGGCTCAGGCAATCTACTCACCTCAGCCTCCCAAAGGCTCAGAATTACAGCCTGAGCCATCAAGCCCGGCTTGTTTTGTTTTGTTTTGACATTGTAATCTCACTCTTGTCGCCCAGGCTAGAGTGCAGTGGCACATTCAAGGCCACCACAGCCTTGACCTGCTGGGCTCCAGCGATCCTTTTGCCTCAGTCTTCCAAGTAGCTAGAACTACAGACGCACGCTACCATGTCCAGTTAGTTTTTGTGATTTATTGTAGAGACAAGGTCTCACCAAGTTGCCCAGGCTGGTCTCGAAGGCAATCCTTTTGCCTTGGCCTCCCAAAGTGCTGGGATTACAGGCTGAGCCACCATGCCTGGCCCACAACTAAATGTTTTAGAAGCTGGTAGGAGGCAAAGTTATTTCATCAACCCCCAAAACTTGAAAGGACAGTAAATACTGAATTTTGAAAGTAAAACACCATAAAATAAAGAAGTAAACATACAAATAACTACAATAATTAGGATATCAAATTTAGATTCCACAGTTTTTATCATGGCATACTGAATCCTAACATGGCAAAATAAGCTGGATTCGTAGTGAATAAATTCCATGAGAATTGTATTCACTCTTCCACTTACAGGTGGACATGCACTGCACTCACCTGTCGAAGATTAATGTAAACCGCATTCTGAAGAAATTCAGAAGCTTCCATGCTCCGCTTCTGAATTGCAAGGACACGTACAGCTTTGACGCATGCTTCCAACTCAATCACTCCAGCATTCTTATACTGCAGGGTAAGAAAGAGGTACACCTCAGTCAAAAAAGAAGAGTGAAGAGGCTTCTGTCACACTCTGATGGCTGTGCCACCAGGACTCAGTAACTGCAAGAGCATGTCGTCCAGCACAGAGCTCCTGATAGCCCTTCCCACCCAAGGAAGGAGAATTTGCTTTTGAGAAAGTCTACCTTTATGAGGGCAAAAGAGGTTGGTGGAACTGAGTGAATCTATGAATGCCCACATAAATATGTATGCACTCATTAAAATAATATGACTACAGAAGCTTGCTATTCTGCAAAACTTCAAAATATCAGTGGGCACTTTGTCATTCACTTCTGCTTATCGTCCCCCTTCTAGTACTCTAAAACATTTTTGGAGTCTCTCACACCTGCAGCTCTAATGCAGTCATTGATTGTAAACCTATTTTTACTTTGTTGTAAAAATTCCAGCTCCCTGTACCTCCCATGTCTTTCTGATTTTCTTTCTCAGAGTTACTCGTTCCTACTTCTCACACCCTATAATGGTTTCTGAGATAAAGAACAAACGAGGGCATGTGAAACAGAAAAGGCTTTATGGAACTTCATTTAACTGCTGAATAAACAGGGGAGTACTTCTCAAATCCCACCCTTAATTCTCCTAACTTCAAGCCAGGAGAGCCACCCCAGCCCCTCTTCCATACACAGAAGAGGAAGAAGTCAGGTTCCAGTGCCCAGGGCTCCCTTCCCTCCGCTCCAATGCTCTTCTCTCTCCGAAGCCTCTACTGCAAATTCAAATTCTTCCATGCTAACTGTTCTTCTGCCTGTATTCTTTTTCTACTGCAAACTCTTTTTTTTTTAAGATGGGTATAATACAGGGTTAGGTATACAAGTGGTCATTTACAGGTCGTTTGGGCCTCACTTTGGTCCCTACTTCACCTGGTTTGAGATCAGATACCCTTATTGATGAAGTGTGCCCCCCACCACCTCCCCAGTAGTTTACCACTACTGCAAATCCCTTTCTTATAATATTAGGGTAATTGTTCAGGGTTCACTTATGAGTGACAAATCCTTTTAATTTTATTTTTTCCTAATTATCCCACTGGTGATTTTCAATACTAGTGTCTAAGGAGAACCTGAGGTTGAAGAGGGATAACATACTAATATTCTTTGGCCAAGGCATTAAAACATATGAAAATCAATGCACTTAATCGTGAAGCACTTACTGAGATCCACTATTGGCCTGGCATGGCATATGCTGCTCATAAAAATGCAGTCGGCCCACTTACCAACCATCGAGAAGCACAGGCACAACTGGTCATCTTTCTTACTAAAATTATATATGAGATGGGACAAGAAGCTTTATAATTACTGTGCCAGAAAGGACAGTCTTCACTTCATCCTTTTTCCCACACATGTAACATGCATACAATCTGTGATGTATCGCATACAATTTTTCAAAGATCCGTAAAAGAAGCTATTTAAATTTACCTAAATACCAACACTGAAGTCAGAAAGCTATCGATTATATATAGTGTTTAACAACACAACAAAAAACTAACATAGAAACTTGATTCTATTGAAATAAAATGACTGCTTTTCCTTCAAAACTCAAAAGGTTTTACTGAAGTAAGAATAAAAGGCAACTCAAGTTCTTTTCACATATTTTGCTAACTTTACATATTTTGATTTACGTTACAAAAATATTTAAAATGAAATCATGAAAAAATTACTTGTTTTTGTTTTTTTTAAATAGAGTCAATTTGCTCTGTGACCTAGGCTAAAGTGTAGTGATACAATCATAGCTCACCGTAACCTCAAACTCCTGGTCTCAAACAATCCTCCCACCTTAGCCTCCGGAATAGCTAGAACTACAGGGGCATGCCACCATACCCAGCTAGATTTTTTTTTATTTTTTATATAAAGACATGCCTCACTATGTTGCCCAGACTAATCTTAAACTCCTGGCCTCAAGTGATCCTCCTGCCTCTACCTCCCAAGTTGCTAGGATTACAAACATGATCCACCACATCTGGCCCCCCAAAATAATTTAAAACTTATTGCAAGCCTCATAAAAAATCCAATCTAATTTTTTTAACTTGAACAAATTATTTTAGAATTCTTCAGGAATAATAAATGCATCATACTAACCAGGAAAATTAGAGATGGGAGGAAATAGTTTTTTTAAAAAAAAGAGTCACAGCCAGGCTCAGTGGCTCAGCCTGTAATCCCAGCACTTTGGGAAGCCAAGGCAAGTGGATTGCCTGAGCCCGCAGGTTTGAGACCAGCCCAGGCAACTTGGTGAGACCTTGTTTCTACAGTAAATTATTAAAAAAAAAAAAAAAGTCATACTATTAGATATTAAGTAAACTACAATAGATAAAACATTATAGTACCGGAATAAGAAAAGATAGATTAGTCAAAAGGAATAAAAATCTCAGAAACAGATAAAAGTATGTGTAAGTATTTAGTTAGAAGTAAATTAAAATCAAAGAGAAAAATATAAATTCAGTAAATTATGGTGAGATAATCATTATCAATCAGATAATGACCTGGAAAAATAAATTATTATTATGTCATAATACAGATAAAATATAGTTAATAATATAAATATCTTAAAATACTAACAATAACCAATACAAATATACTTTTGCATACATTATCTCAGCTCATCCTAACTACAACTCTACGAAATGATTGGTACTATTATCATCTTTATTTTAGAAATAAAAACCTGAACAGCAGAGCACAGAATCAACAGAGAATACAGTGCAACAAGAAACTTGAAAACACACATATACATTAACCCTAAAGCCAAAAGAAAACAAGCAAACAAAGAAAAAACTTTGTAAGAACCTCATAACAGCAATAAACAATCACATTTCAATAATTAGCCTGAATGTGGATGGACTAAATGCACCACTGAAAAGACACAGAATGGCAAACTGGATAAGAAACCATGACCCAATTATTTGCTGCATTCAGGAAACTCATTTCACCACAATGGATGCACACAGACTCAAAGTTAAAGGATGGAAAATGAGTTTCCAGGCAAATGGATCACAAAAGAAGGCAGGAGTTACAATCTTAATATCAGACAAAACAACCTTTAAGCTATCAAAAATTTAAAAACATGCAAAAGGACACTACATAATGATAAAAAGTTCAATCCATCAACAAGAAATATCCATCCTAAACATATATGCACCCAACACAGGAGCACCAGTATTTATAAAGCAACTACTAAGTAAACTAAAAAAGATATTGACTCTAACACTATTATAGCAGGGGATTTGAACACCCCACTAACAGCCCTAGAGAGATCATCGAGGCAAAAAATCAACAGGGAGATCCAGAACCTAAACTTGACACTCAACCAAAGGGATTAATAGATATCTACAGATTATTCCACCCAACTACCACAGAATATACACATTCCACTCATCACCACATGGAACATACTCCAAGATTGATCACATCCTTGGCCATAAATCAAGCATACACAAATTCCATAAGGTTGAAATCTCGCCATGCACACTCTCAGATCACAGTGGAATAAAAATAAGTATCAACACTAACATTTCCCCAAAGTCCACAAAGACATCGACATTAAACAGCATGATGCTGAACAACTACTGGGTCAACACTGAAATCAAAGTAGAAATTAAAAGATTCCTGGAAACAAATGAAAATGAAGAAACATCTTATTGAAACACCTGGGAGGCCATGAAAGCAGTTCTCAGAGAGGAATTCATATCTCTACGAGCACACACCAAGAGAACAGAAAGATCACAAGTGGAGAGCCTAACAAATCACCTAAGGGAGCTGGAAAGAGAAGACCATCAAAACCCCAACTTTAACAGAAAAATCCAAATCCCCAGAATAAGAGCCCAAAAACGGAACATAGAAGAAAAAATATCATAGAAAACATCAGCAAAACAAAAAGCTGGTTCTTTGAAAGAATTAACAAGATTGATGGACCCCTAGCAAGAATGACCAAAAAAAAGAGAAAAAAGCCCAAATAAACACAATCAGAAATACAAAAGATCAAATCACAACTGACCCTGAAGAAATATAAAAGATTATCAGAGATTACTATGTACACCTATATGGAAACAAACTTGATAACCTAAATGAAATGGAGGACTTTCTGACATCACACAACTGCCCCAGGTTGAAACAAGAAGACACTGAGACACTAAGTTGACCAATAACAACCAAGGAAATTGACTCTGTCATACAAAAACTACCTAGAAAAAAAAAGCCCTGGCTTTCCAGCAGAATTCTACAAAACGTACAAGGATGAGCTGATACCAATCCTTTTGAAAGTATTCCAGGCAATTGAGAAAGATGGATTTCTCCCCAAATCATTCTATGAAGCTAACATCACACTGATACCCAAACCAGGTAAAGATCCAACAAAAAAAGAGAAGTGCAGGCCAACATCCCTTATGAACATAGATACAAAAATCCTCAATAAGATTCTAGTAAATCGGATCCAAAAACACATCTCAAAAATCATCCACCGGCCGGGTTCAGTTGCTCAGCCTGTAACCCCAGCACTTTGGGAAGCTGAGGCGAGTGGATTGCCTGAGCCCACAGGTTCGAGACCCACCCGGGCAACTTGGCGAGACCTCATCTCTACAATAAAATCAAAAAATTAGCCGGGCATGGTAGCGCGCGCCTGTAATTCCGGCTACTTGGAAGGCTGAGGCAGAAGGATCGCTGGAGCCCAGCAGGCCGAGGCTGCGGTGGCCGAGAGCAGTCACTGCACTCCAGTCTGGGTGACAGGGTGAGACTCCAACTCAAAAAAAAAAAAAAAAATTAGCCAGGTGTGGTAGCGCTTGCCTGTAGTTCCGGCTACTTGAAAGGCTGAGGCGGAAGAATCGTCGGTGCCCAGCAGGACGACGCTGTGGTGGCCAGGAGCATGCCACTGGACTCCAGTCTGGGCGACAGAGTGAGACACCAACTCAAAAAAAAAAAAAAAAAACATCCACCATGACCAAGTAGGCTTCGTCCCCAGGATGCAGGGCTGGTTCAACATTCACAAGACCATAAATGTCATTAAACACATCAACACACGTAAAAACAAGAAACACATGATTATATCATTAGATGCAGAAAAAAGATTTTTATAAAATCCAGCACCCTTCCTTGATAAAAACCCTCAAACACCTAGGTATAGAAGGAACATACCTCAAAATAGTAAGTGCCATCTATGATAAACCTACAGCTAACACATTGCTAAATGGACAGAAACTGGAAACATATCCCCTAAAAACTGGAACAAGACAAGGCTGCCTACTTTCACCCCCTCTTTTCCAACATTGTATTGGAAGTCCTAGCTCAGGCAATTAGACAAGAGAATGAAATCTGGGGTATTCAAATAGGAAAAGAAGAAGTCAAGCTATCCCTCTTTGCTGATGATATGATCCTATACCTTGAAAATCCAAGAGAATCTGTCAAAAGCCTGCTTATACTGATAAAGAACTTTGGCAAAGTCTCAGGGTACAAAATAAATGTGCAAAAGACAGTTGCAATCCTATACACCAACAACAAGCAGGCAAAGACCCAAATTAAAAGCACAATGCCATTCACAATAGCCACACAAAAAAAGAAATACCTCGATATCTTCCTAACCAGAGAAGTGAAAGTCCTTTACAATGAGAACTACAAAACACTGCTCAAAGAAATCCAAGAAGACACAAACAAATGGAAAAACATTCCATGCTCATAGATAGGAAGAATCAACATTATTAAGATATTTTTCTCTGCATCTCCCATATTACTCCTGTGCGTGTTGAGTCTCTGCCGCCCTCCCCCTCCCACCAGGATGGCCAGACCTTTCCTAAAAGGTGCTCAGCCTCATTCATCATCAGAGAAATGCAAATCAAAACCACATTGAGATATCACCTAACCCCATAATGGTAATAATGGTCACCATTAATAAAACAAACAACAACAGATGCTGGCAAGGATATGGGGAAAAAGGAACACTTCTGCACTGCTGGTGGGAATACAAACTAGTGCAACCCCTTTGGAAGACAGTGTGGTGATTTCTGAAAGAACTAGAAATTGTCCTTCCATACGACACAGCAATTCCCCATTGGGAATATACCCGGAGGAACTCAAATTATTCTACAAAAAATATACCTACACACATATGTTTGTTGCAGCTCTATTCATAATAGCAAAAACATGGAACCAACCATGTTGCCCATCAAAGCTGGAATGGATTAAAAAAATGTGGTACACATACACAATGGAATATTATGCAGTCATAAAGAAGGACAAACATATGGACTTTGCAGCAACTTGGATGGATTTAGAGTCAATCATACTCAGTGATCTATCACAGAAACAAAGAACAGAGTACCATATGTTCTCACTATAAGCGGACCTTGAACAATTATAATACTATGAGAAAGCAATTGGCAGTAGTAAGAAACTGTCAGGGGAGGGGGGATGGGATTGGTAGTTGAGGGAAACTGCTAGGGGAGGAAAGGCACACCTCATCAGTAAGGGTACCCACATAATCAACATTTGTATACCTAACCCTGAATTGTACCCTACATCTTTATAATAAAAAAATAAAACCCTGAAGAAAAGAGTTTTATTCTATTGTTAAGAAATTATTTGTAAGCATAAAACCAAACATAAAGTCCATAAGAAAAAGATTTAATAAATTAAAAATCTATTTTTTATTACAACCAAAAAGAAAAACATTATAAACAAAATAATTAGGTAAATAACATTAAGAAAAATAATTGCAATGTCTATGATACACAAAAAATTAATGTGCATAATATATAAAAAGCTATCATAAAGTAATAAGAAAAACTCCCTAATTTAAATGTATGCAAGGATACAGATAATTCAGAAAAGAAATCCAAATGGCTAACAAGTAAAAACTGTTAACTACCTCACAGTATGATCAAACACAAACTAAAACAGTGAAAAATTACTTTTTCCCATCACTTTAGCAAATACTTTAAAAGTATAATAATGTGCATTGACAGAGAATAAATTATTAGCAACCTTTTTGGAGGACAATATTAGAATACATATCCCTTAAAAACAATGTATACTCTTTTTTTTTTTTTTTTTTTTGAGTTGTAGTCTAACTTTGTCGCCCAGACTGGAGTGCAGTGGCTGCTCCCAGCCACCACAGCCTCGACCTGCTGGGCTCCGGCGATCCTTCCGCCTGCAACC